GGATTCAAAATTCAGGATCGATATTTAATTCAGACCCATATGAGTTTTACCGGAGGATCATGGCAAAATTTCAGTTGACTCCTGACATACGAATTAAGTAAGGAGAGTTGTCCACAACGCAATACCTAGAAGTGTTATTTTCAGCCCGAACTGGATGAAATTAAACCTGAGGACTAGGTAGTACTGAAATGGTAGAGGGGCTGATGAAAAAAGCAGGAGTGCAATACCTAAAGTTGGACAGTGGAGTAAATTCTAGCACTATTAGTTTCCAGAAAAAATAGACTCAGAAGCCTCAAAGAATGTAGAGGGGTATGATGAAAGAAAGAGATGACAAAAGGCAGGCAGGCGTGAGAATCACGGTTCTGAAAGCCCTCCTCAGTGAGGCTATCGTACACGTTCTATCATAGCTTCGGGAGCAAAAATGTGAATAGGCACTCTAATACGACGGACAGGGCAACCAAAATCGAAGGCTTATAATCAGCCAGTTAGATAAGACAAGTGCAGCATTGAAAAATTGATAGAGGTAGGATAAAGTGAGTGGCTGAGTGGAAGTATTAATTGTTATGAGAAAGCATGTGGATTGCATGCGAAATCGGTAAAAGAGATTGAGCTACACTACTTGGAGATATACATTCTTGGAATATATTTAAATAAACAAGTATAAGGCGCAAGTAGATAAAGTGGGTTTGAGGTGTGCGGATATAGCACTGAGACCTATGACAAATGGAAAGAGATGCAACAACAGTTGAACAGAAAGCTGGCCAAGGGGATTGTTTTCGCTAGTCTATGATGAACACACCCTTCACGGAGAGTGACTGCTAAACGTCTTTTAAAGTAAAAAATCAACGGTCCGATGCCGAAAATTATCATGATTACCGTATCAGAAAGAGCAGGAATAGATACGTTCCACAGGGCCTTACTGTCACTCCAATAAAGTTGTGAAAACGGGGTCAAACCAACTAAATAGATAGAGGAATACCGTCATTGTCTGACGATATGGAGGTTTATCTCTTTTTTCTAAGATTCTTGAATGTGCCTTCTTAACTCGAACACAATGGTGACTCAATTTATCATAGAATAGTGGCAAAACAAAGCACTTACACAACAAATTTGGGGATAATGGTGAATGAAAGTTTGTTTATACATGGAATATGAGAAGGCTATCACTCACTGCATTATCCATATCACTCTCATTTTCACTTTCGTTAAGATTTACTTCTTCAACTGACTTTGCAAGTGCTTCTTCGGTTGAAGTGGATTCAAAATCCAACTTGTTATTGAAATTTTGCAAGACTTCAGTTACTTCACCAGCTATAGAACTGTGCAGTGTTGTGTCTTCATCCGTTTCAGCAAAATCCAGAGAGTCCTGCAACGATTTCGCATCATTTACTTCTAACAACGAGCCGTCTTCTAAATCGGATTCAGATCTGAGCTCTGATGGAACTAAAGCCTCTTGTTCAGGACCAGCTTCAGAATGGACTTGCCATTTTTTGTTGGCACTATTGGGACGAAACCAGCTAATATCTATGTTGACGTCACTGTCTACGAATGCAAGGCCGTACCAGGTGGAGCCAAAGCCCTGTAAACGAATATCTATGGAAAATAAAATTCAGTATTATGGGCAAAAGCATGTAGAGTTCGCTTCGTGGTAGTTTTGAGCAAATGAGAATGAATTACCTAGTGATTGATGCAAGGGCTAAATAATTTTTTTTAGTTAACTAAACGAACGTGGAGACTCAAGAGAATATGGAATGGATAAAGATGGCAGACTCCATTATGCCGGTTGTGGTTTCAATAAAAATGCATTAAGAATTCGTGTCTTATATAATAGACCTTATATAAGCTGAATATAATTCTTATAACAACTCGAATCCAGAACAAATTCAAAAAAACTAACCGGCCAGACTCAAGCAAAATCAATTTCATAAAAGATAAAATGATTCGGTTAGTCTGCTTATTTGAGTGCGCGTAAGACATCGAAATCAACAGAGATTATAATAGGAATTTAATCATCCTGA